TTTTTTAGTTAGTGAGTTGAGATGAAGGAAGAAATATTCCAAAAAGGGACGAGAATGCTAATTACCTAAATATAGAACAATGTTTAAGGACTTCCCAACATCGCTTGCAAATGACTAGAAAATATTAATTAGACAAAATAGATTTCATATTATCTGATTCGGAATATTAAATTAGTATTATTATAGTAGCAAATCGTCGCTGCGCCTGACAAGTTCCATATGTGTATTTTTTCAAATATTTTTTTTTTCACTCATATTAATCTGCATTTTATTCTCCATGTGCTGATAAAGTACTTTTTGTGATATTCGACCTAAATACGAATTTAACCAATTCCATTTGTGTATTGACCATTTGAAAAAATCAGTATGTGCAGTAATGCACACAAAGTATTTGTGTTCGCTTATTAGTCTCCCACCAAGAGCGTTAAAGATCTGAGTATGTGGTGTACACAACATTAAAAAATAGATTTACGGGTAGATACACAACAAAATTGGTAAGTACACAGTTTATTTACATCATAGTTAATGTTGTTTAATTATTATCTCCTCAAGTTTGAGATAATGATCATTTATAACTTGTCAATTTTAATATATAAAATCCTAACCTTAAATATGTGCATCGCAGTTTTATTATTTCTTACATTGTTATATTTATAGGAGAAATATAGTAGATTATTTTCTAACTATTAATACCTATAATTATCAGAATCTTGGCAAATACTAAGATCACATTATAAATTATAATTCAATAAACTTCCTACTTATTGCCGGTTTGTTACAGTTTGGTTATTGGTTTATTACCAATAACCAAACTGTAACAAACCGTAATTTGTTGCCTTTTTACAGCTAAACCCTTGAGTTGATATTGCAACTTATCTGGTTATTAGGTTTTGTCTCGTCTTTAAAACTTGAGAATTTTGACGCCCTGTTTGGATGGTTAGCAGTTAAATTTTTGATCCATCGTCTTGGGTTCGAATCCAGATAGCAATAAAGTTATATGTGAGCATGAACGCTTGTTGTTGGGCCGTTGCTGTATAACGTATGTATATAGGAATATAGGTAATGTGTGTATTTAGGTGCTATATTTATATATATATGTGTGCACTAAGTCCGTAGTTAATTATAGCAAAAGATGCCTGCTACCTACCTGTGCGGTTTACCTAATTCTTGGTTTTTGTTGCTTCAGGGGTCATGGCTTTTAACTCACATCCCAGCAAACCATCGTCACGAGCACAGGTACTGGTAAATTTGGCTAAAGGAATCGTAAACAGTAATCAAAGTAAAGATTTCAATATATCCTCGGATATTATTTTGTCAAGTAGTTACGATCCAACGCAATGCTTACGAAATTCAGACCTGACCCGAAATAATAATATTTCCGATACAATCACAAACATGTACAACATGTCATCTGAAAATATAGAAGTTCCTCTATTTGAAGAATTAAAGGACGTTACGTATGAAAAAAATCTTGATTCTTTTGTAAGTACATTAGAATTCATTTCTAGCATTCCTGAAAACACCGACAGTGTCGAAATTCAAAATAATGGGATTCCTCTCAATTTAAACAAAAGATATATTCTCGATGAAGTGACAGGCCAGATAAGAGAGGATATGGATTATTATAAAGGCATTTTAAATAGCGAAGAATACTATCTCGATGAGAAGACAGGGTTATTAGAACCTAATTATAATACAGTTTGCATGAACAGAGAAAACGATACCAAACCATCTGAAACTGAATATTCAAGCAGTGATGAGGAGATAAATAGAAAAAGGGAGTCTAATAGGCTAAAGAGAGTACGCGGTGAAAAATATATAGGAAGAAAGAGAAAATGGATTGAAAAAGAAAAGAAAGCAATAAATGAATTAGTACCAAAACCTAGAAAACATCTGAAAGGAAAACCATGTTCTCATTCTACTATATCGAAATCTGATAGGAGCTTTTTATGCGGTTTGATTTCCGAACAGAAACGAAAAGTTATATTTCATTATTTTTGGAGCTTAAATACTTGGGATGCTAAAAAGGCTTATTTAAAAAATCTTGTTCGTATGCGTTCGGTATTGAGAAGACGTAAAAACGCGATTGTTTCAGAGGATGCATCTCAAAGACAATTGGCCTATGACTATTATTTACCAGATGATCAGAATGTCACTGTAAAGGTGTGTAAAAGCTTTTTTGTTAGCACTTTTAATATAAATAGCGATACCTTGTCAGAATGGATTAAGAAGCTGCAGGAAAATCGAGAAGGAGGAAAGGACTTAAGATCTAAACATGAAAAACGACAATAAAAGATAATAAAAATACCTGTTTTGAAAACTGTCAGATCAACTGCTGTTAAAGAATGGTTGAACTTACTTAATAAAGTACCAAGTCACTATTGTCGCTCTAGCAGTAACAGAGTTTATATTGACGATACTTTTGAATCAAAGTCTCACATGTTTCGAATTTATACAGAGTGGTGTAAGGATAACCGAAAACCAAATATTGGTCGCAAACTGTTTAATAAGGTGTTGGAAGAGGAAAAGATTTCTATTTATAAACCAAGAAAGGATCAGTGCGATATATGTTCAGCCAGAAAAGATGGTAATATCTTAAAAGAGTAATACACATTACACATTTAAAAAAAAATGAGGCTTACAGAGCACATATTGATGCTAGCAGTATGCGGTCATCTCGTATGAGAGAAGCTCGACCAAAGCAACCATATCATGTTCACCATGTAGATTACTCATTTTTTAAAAATTATGAGAAAGATGCTTGCCTTGATTCCATTCGTCCTGGTAAAAGGGCAGGAGATCTGACTGTAAATGACTTACGAGCTCTTCTGTATAAAAATGGTAGTATCTTCTACAAGATACGGCACCCCGATGAATGGCAAGTCCTACCTCAGCGAGTTCGTTCCTACAACCCAAGACCAATTATAACTCCACTTTACAACGAACCCCGAAAACTTGATAAAACTAAATATGATAGTCTCCAGTCATTAAAACCTTATATGCACCGCGATTATCATGCTTTTTATGATAGTCTCCATTACAGAGAGTAACTTTATAAATTATTTCTATTATGATTAACTTACTAAGATTGTAAGCGTTAATTACCTTATTTTGTATTATTATTTGATTTTGTCAAGTTTTATTGAATTTTTAATTTGTTTTTCTTTATTTTTTTAGTTTTAAATGCTGTGATAAAGCATAGAATATTGCAATTGGTATTATATGTGATAATAGAAACTAAGGATTAAGTGTTAAAATGGGCCAAATTTTAAGATCTCATATATTCAATCATTGTAACTGGTAATTTAAGGACGACTGATTATTTAATAGTTCAGGTGTAGTTCCTATTTATTTTGTTATATTATGTTGTTATTAAGTAAATCAAAAGAACACATAATTATAAACCTTAAAATATAAAAGTGTCACATTGCCAAATCCTATGAGTGCATAATAATGCACAAAAGTTATTTTACAGATGGCGCTAAACCAGTTATGTGCAGTTTTTGACAAAAAAAAATTCTAGCTCCATAAATAGCTAATGTTTATGGTCAATTGTCTATTAGAAATATGTCTTAAATAAATGTTTTTGAATCTGCATTATTAGTTTTTTATTAATTCCTTCCGTTTATTTAATAAACAGTTTTTAGTTGTTTTCCAAAACCTTACTAAAATTACATATGGAACTTGTAATAACTCTGTGTGTCTGTTACGGTTTTCTACATAAATCATTGAAACGTTTTAGATTAAATTTATTCAAGAAATTGTATGAAAATCTAGTAAGAACTTATATTAGTTTTTATCTTTCAATGCAATGAAAACAGTTGTAAAACTTGGCATTAAGAACTGACTATTCCCGCTATTCTCATTAAGATAGATTCTACTTTACATTTTCAAGTTAAAATCGTTAATTATTTGGTGTTAACAAAACATTAAGAAATAAAGTAGATTGATCAAATCTCGGAGAAAAACAAGTGGACTACTGAAAATACTGATTATAAAAAAAATAAACACATGTTTATTAATTAGATCTCTAATATGGCAAGATATCAATTATGTGCCTATGATCTGTTCGAATGGTTAATGAAAAAATAGACAACGACACGAGTTTCATGTGAGCATTAAAATAAAACGATATGTATCACTATCCATAGAGTGTTGTATCGTTTCCGTATCGTTTTATAGTATCGCCTTTTGTTGTATGGGACGCTATAGGTCGCTGACCTCAAACCGTACAACAAGTACTATGCCCAACTGCGATGTTGACTATCTAATGTGTATCGTTTTCTTTCAATGCTCACATAGGTAAAACTTAGTGTCATTATCCGTTTTTTGCCCTAGGCATAGACTATATAAAAAGCGATTCGATGACCTTGTGTTTTTTTCATAAAACAGAAGCGTGAACTGTCGGTGTTTCAGATAACGGAGAACGCCCTCAGTTCCCGGTCAACTGGTTACTTGGAATCACCTTGGATATGAAATATATGCACAGCGTATATGCGTTGTAAAAACGTCAAGCATTTACAAAAGGTCAAAATTTCACAATCAATAAAATTTTATCAAATTAAGGCATATAATCGATTTTGAGAAATTTTCCCTTTTTGTTTTAAACTGACCTGCTGTAGACTGAACATACATCCCGACACTGCAAGTGAAGGCCATTGTGTAAGAATGAGACAGATTATTATGGACATTATCCTACATTTTATATTTAACGAGGAAAATAGTGAGGAAAGTAAGGACGATTAATTCAATTTATTGCGTGTAAAATCTTCTATTGATTATTTTAATGTGCTGTAGTTTGACGTTAGTTAGGAGTTTAAAGAAATGAAATTTCTATCATAGTATTGATTTTGTAAATACCATAATGAAATAAAAGAGTTACTACTTATTAATCTTTATTGTTTCTTAAACAATAGACTTCTAACAACTATATTAATACAGATACAGACTAGAATCTTACATATTTTAAAATTAGTTCACACTAAAAATTTTTTTTATTTAACAACATCATAAGCGCAAATTGTCATGCAATAAACATCAGCGTCCTCTCTGGCATATGTAATTTCATAATTAATTATTGATACTAGCAACAATCTAATTATTTCTTTGACACATATACGAGGACAGCCCAGTGGAGACTTACAAATTCTTTATTTAATTTATGTAAATGCTTTCATTATGCTAAGTTATTCTTCATCATCGTGGTGTATGTAACCGGAACAACTTTACAACTGGACAGACACATCTGCTTAATTTTAAAGGTATTATTTTTATTCTAAACCTTGTTTAGTAATAGTAAGAATATTTGGACTCGAGTTATTTATTATAATAAATAAGTTAATAATATAAGTATTCGTATGAGGAACAAAAATATATTATTATGGCAACAGGGTATAACGATAAATGATTAATATTATATTAGGAAACATAAAAGTAGAAACCTACTTGGTGGTCATTCAATTGTAAGCTAGTTATGTGCTTATTCTATAGAATCTGACACAGGAATGCAAACTGTACGGGTGAGTGACCGTATACAAGTAGCTATCATTGTGGAACCCGACTTGAAACACCATTCAACGAACTTATTAACGACGATTTAAGACACAACCACCACAATGCCTTTCTCAAATATAAATGATATCATAATATTGTTTAACTGCTTTAACTTACTTACATTATCGAAAAAGTTATAAGTACGTAGCATCCACAATCACATTAACAAGAAATACTGATCAGGTGTAGACTATATTCTTTTTATCATACTACAGGAGAGTAAGCTCGGCTGTAAGCTTCTATTGTTGCTAATATGGATTCCCGGGAACATGCATTCTTCCCAGCATATGTCATAGAACATCCCGACCTCGTGAAGCATGCCTTCGGGTGCTGATCATTACAGCACATAAGAATGGCGGCGTTACATGCATCGGCTGTGGTTCTCTGATATCTAGGTGCTTGTGTCGTCACAGTCTATGAAAAAACAATTGAGTCAGTAAAAAAAAATCCAGTCTGTATTAATATAAAAAATCTTGTTAGTTATTGCTGTCTTTTATGGAGAACTTACAATATCTTCTTGAGTGCTGCCGTGCTCAACTTTAGGTGGTGGTCGCTGTGGTCGACTCGGCTTGATCGGCTCGAAGGAAATCGGTCTTGCACCATCATTGGGGTCGTCTTTTTCTAAAGCTTCTGCGTTCGTGTCTACTATACCCCAGTTCTGATTTGAGTCCTCCAATACTGGAAATCTCCTTGTTATGTTCGGAACAGCACTCACTCTAACATTACACGTGCAGTTTTGAGGAATAGGATACGGCACTGGGTAAGGGACGTATATAGGCTGTGGTGCCGGAGGTGGTGGGGGACGCTTGACATAATCTGCAATTTCATCAAGTAGCCTTAAAATTTTCGGGATAAGGTCCTGTTCATTCTCGTAAACCCTCCTATTTGGATAGTAAGGGTTAGGTGGGACGGGATAGTCGTAACCATAGTTCATTTGCCAACGCTTTCTCCGGTGTCTCATTTGACCTGCACGGTAATCTCTAATTGATGAAATGTCATCTATTTGTTGGTTAAGTGATCTTTCTCGTTCATTTTTATCGGTATTTCTAGCGTGCACCCCGAATATACACAGTAGGACTGTGAAAATGATTAACGTTTTCATCTGTAACAAAAAAAAAACAAATTATTTTAATATTGTTTATTTATGCAAGTTGTGTTAGATTTTTAATTATAAATAATTTTCTCTAAAATGAATTCTTGCATTCATTATTAATAAGATCAACATATCACAATCTTACATTATATGAAATTACAATCTAAACAAGAACCTATTGTTACTATACGTATATATATTTTTATAACATATAACGGTCAGTTGCACAAACGTCCATTAAGGTTTAGTAACGCCTTTAAGCTCTAATGAATGTCAAATTTGTATGGGTAATGTAGCTTTAACTAAAAAAAATAATGGACGATTGTGCAACTGGTTGATAGTGACGTCAAAATATAGTGAATAGCGTTCCACAGAAGTGGCAAAGAAGAAAGCGTTCACATTCCAACCCTCCCACATTATTTACTATACGTAAATAATTAACCTTTATAATGTAGTAGAATCTTTTAAAATGTCAATATTTCAATTCTAAACTATTATCATCAAATTGTCTTTGCTTATATGAAAATATTCAATAGTCTTTTATAATGCTCATGAGTTATGAAACCTGATTGACCAAACTTAAAAAACAAGTCATTAAGTACCTGTTCTTAAATGGACAAACACATTTTATTCCGAATTATTTATCGAATATCTAATCGAATCAAATTATTAATTAATGACTGCATCCGTATTTATGCGAGTGACATTTCATAATTTATAAAATTTATGTTGTATACGTTATTGCGTGCCATTTTTATAGTTTCGTATACAAAAAAAAATGTTACTTTTCTATTGAATTACTCGCGAAAATAAACATAATCATACATAAAAAAAACACAGGAAAAATACAACACACGCGTGGCCGTTTTTTGGCAGAGCACACCAAAACTATGCGACATTGGCTAAAAATACCGAAACACACCATGATAACTACTATCATAAGAAGTTACCAGTCAACCTTCAGCTATATAGTCGAAGGATGAATTCCGGTAAAAGAAACCGTTTATTGATAAAGACGCTGTTGGCACACAAAAAATAACACTATCGAATCTGTACATACCTTTTGAGCTATTATAGGACAGATGTATGTCGCAGTGTATAAAATTAACTTTGCTATGAATCGTAAGCACCAATCACAAACGAGTTTTATTAGTTTTGATTAACGGAATCCGGAACTACGAGACGCATACGGGCGCCCGTTCGTTTTGAAGCTTTGTGGTAGACTGAACACCGTTGTTAAGCATGCGACCGTGACAGTGAGTGCGTTTGCGCAGACGACGCGGACAATTTATATTACAAATAGGTATATTGGAAATAGTGAGCTGCTCCTTTAATTATTATTAGATCGACAGTTATTTGACGTAACTTTTTTAACTTATCCGATTCCGATGCACGACTGGATAAGGAAATCGTGGAAATTGTATTAGTCATGATACGTATGTAAAAGAAACAGATTATTCATTAGTATAGAAAATGATTGGACCTATTTAATTCGGTTTCTTGTATAGATATTGGATGGGAACTTATACTTGGCATGATTTTGAATAATAGTATGGTGATTATGACACCATTTTGTGTGGAAAACAAAATGGTGTCATAATTATCAACAATTATTTATATATACTTAAAACAAATCTTAACTAACCCAGGCTAAGATGATTCCGATTCCTGTCTTAAAACAAATCTTAATGAACCTAAGCTTAGACGATTCTTTTAAACGAAGGTTTTTTTTTAAAATTGATGATGTCTATTCATAGTACAAGGAGATCCTGATCTATTTTTTCTTAAATTATCCCAAAGTTGTTTCTAATACTCCTACGCAACATGTACAATGCTATTTAACTGTAACTAATGTTCATTTTTTTTTTCACTTTAACTAATAAATAATTGGTTATCGTTCGTCACAGTACTCACTACAGCTGATAATTGACTATTCACACATACCAATACAAATGTAATGAGGAAATATATAATTGTTTGTACATAAAAAAAATAATAACTTTTAAGTACCTATGACCAATCAAATTGAATTTTATTTTCTTTTACTTATATACGGTATATTTTCAGCGCGATAATTTTGTATACCCTAAATTCTAAAGCTGACGCAATCCTTATATGTAGTAGGATGTAAATGGAATATTAAATACTAATTATTTGTATAATTTCATAGGGCAGCATTTTTAATTCTGTAAAAACTTATCTCAAAATGTTTATAATAAATAAACACAATATAGTAGATAAAGATAAACAGATTTGTTTCTTCTTTCATAGTTACTAAACCCTATATATTTTTATGTTCTGTTTCATTCCCATTTACAAATATTTTTATAGACGCTAAATACAAAGTTTCATGACATAATCTGTGACAATGATACCAAATATAAAATTAAAGTGTCACATCACCTTTTCAAACTCATTTCGTCACGATAAAAAGTTGAATTAGACAGAGTTACTTTCTCATATATAATATTTTAGAGATCAATAGTAGTGTAATTTAATAAGTAAACTATGCTTACTTATATCTACATGTTTATTATTCAATTAAAAAAAAAAACAGAGAACTGAAATATTTTTAGTTTTATTCCTACCGGCAACCTTTCCACTCGTAGAACATATCTGAAAGTTGCCGCACAATACAATTTTTTTCTTTACACAAAGCAAAATCGTAGCTCGGTGGCGTAGTGGATAAGCGCCGCGGCCCGCGATCGTAGTCGTTACGCAACTTTCGCAAGGGTCGGTCACGGGATGGGTGACCAAAAAATTATTATCTCGAACTACTCCGTGCTTCGGAAGGCTCGTTAAGCCGTTGGTCCCGGTTGCATTTGCAGTCGTTAATACCCTCCAATCCGCATTGGGCCAGCGTGGAGGGTCATGGCCCATCCTCCTTAACCATCCATAAGGAAGGCCTGAGCCCCTGCAGTGGGGACGTAAAAGGGCTGGTGATGTGGTGATGTAAAGCAAAATCACAAGGAATAAAACTGCCATCGGCAAAAAATAAGGAGTAGAAGATGAACTGGAAATGATAATCAAGATTAAAAAGAACCTAAGAGTAACGATTGCAACAATTACACTCAATGTTTTTAAGCTTTTGTAATTGATTTAGTGATGACGTATGTAAATGTCGTCACTATTGTAAAGGAGCCGATAAGTTGCTTATGTCCACCACTAACCTTTTCTGACAAAAAACAGCCTGAAAGAGTTGTATTTAAAATAGCTGGATAATACAAAATTTCTTACAACTTTTATGAATAACGAATGTTTATTTATTTTTTATATCAATTATCTCATGATCGATTTCCCATAAACTCTACATGCCATTTCTTTTTTCATTTGATAGAAAGATAAATATATTTATTTTCTGAAAAACAAACAGATCTTTAATCAACCAATCGATAAATAATCAGTACACTTTTTGCCGATAACCTATTACAATATGTTGATTTATAACAATGTCTATTTCTTATAAATCATAACCAATATGCAGATGATGCTAAACAGGTGGAATATTAAGTGTATGGTGGGTAGGTATTCACTAATTACATTTTCAAGCTGCAGTATGAAACGCTTTATTCTGCTAACGTTTAGGAGACTTTTATTTTGCCAAAAAATCATTTGGCATCTTATCATATTTTTTGCCTATATGCCTCACTAACAGCACAGTATTTATACTGTGCTGGTAATAGGTTATGTGAAACTAAAGTAAAGCATAAACATTTATTATTATAAAAAATATTATTTAATATAATAAGGTTAATTATATGCAAATGTAGACTAGACGACAACTTTTTTTATTTTATACATAAATAGTTCATTAATATTCAGAAATAATGTAGAAGTAACAGCATGTCTGCGATTAATAGTTTCGGAGATATAGTGCTTTGTATGTGGAACTGCTGCTAGTCAACCGAATACGCTCTCTGTTACTTCAAACCACAAGTGAGAAGTCATACGGTGCTATGTCAGCGAAAAACGTATGGTCGGTGTCTGGGCAATCTTTGCAATATCTTTATTATTTGTGCATTTATGTTTATAGCTGTTGTAATGAAAGTTGTTACGTTTTATGTTACTAATTTAATGCCATGTGTATATTAGCAAATTTTTGTAATATAATTTTCAAAAAAAATCTTTTATCAAAAGCTTTGGTACTGTTTTTCATTCAATATTTTAAAGATGCCTCACTAACAGCACAATATTTATACTGTGCTTTTAAAATGGTTTTTTTAAAATGGTTCTTATTTTCCGAAAATATAACATAAACCTGTATTATCATTTGTAGGACACAATCCTATTATCGTCAATTCATAATTTGCGGTACCACTAATTGATATGAAATGAAATTCTAAAAGCATATTTTTATTTTCAATCACTAAAGTAACCACAAAGAACTAAACAACATTTTTATTGGTCATGTGATTAAGATTCTTGTGATGATATTGTTAGATCTTACTATCAGTTGCGGATATTCCTGATCTTGAGCAGTATAATACGTAGCTAGCTGTTGCTGGACTGTATTATAAAACTTCTTTGATAACGCTTACTTCTTCTTTATTTTCTTTGCTTGAAGTCAGGAGAGCTCATCGTTATACACCTCGATTAGAAAATTTATTTATAATCATAAAACGAAAATTGGAATTTTACTTTTATGTACTAAAATATTGTTTATCTATGGACACAGTTATGCTAATTAGTGGGTAACAGTGTGGACATCTTACAAATCCACACAATGACGTCAAAATTACGGCTTAGCCTGCAACTACAAATGTATGTAATACCTACAGCGCAATACCATAATAATACCACCTACCTACCAATAAAAAATCTCGACATGAAATATTATTCTGTTTCGAGATTCAGTGTTTTTAAGTTTAGACAATAATTATGGTTCTTACTTGTTATGAGTATCGGCTAGCATAGTCTTGCGATTTCGTATCACACGGCAAGCACAGTATCACCACATTGTGCCTAACCTTTAGCATTTTGATATATTTAATCTACTGTACTGTACTGTAGTATAACGAAGAATATTCGAACATATTATGTAAAATTGAAAATTCGATTAACTTAAATTGCGATAAAATAGTTATCAACTGCCACTGTCATGTTTGTCTCATATGTTATGTTTGTATATGTTTTAGTTTGTGGTATATTATTTTTCTCTTTGTTTATGCATTATTTTACTCTTAAGTTTATGAACTTGTGCTACACAGCGTTAAGAGCAATTTAAACTCAAGACACATTAAAAGAAAGCTCATTTTTCTTTGTTTTTTTTCTGTTGTATTTTATTACAAGCTAAGAATGAATATAGTGCATTTTAAAAGACCTTATTACATTATCTTAAGTTTATTTTTTGTTTATGACTCCTGCAATAGTTACAGACCATTATTTACTTGATTCCAATTAAATTTAGCAAAAAAAATACCTATATTAGAAGTTGTTGTAATCAAATCAGTATCTGATTTTAAACAAAATACTTTCAGGATGAATGAATGAACGAATGAGTGAATGAATTAATGAATAATTGAATGAACACTTTATTGTACTTGAAAAATCAACATAACGATTAATAACAATAAACAGTACAAGGATGAGCGTTAATTATGTTACACGTTGCATATGATCCTTGTAGCGAGGCAATACCTTAAAGAAAGCCATTCACTCTTTATTACTATATCAATCATAGGATACCAGGAAATTAAAACATCACCTCTTAATACCATTTAATTAGCTTATTTTAAACTATGGGAATAAATATACTCTGAGGTTGTATGATTTAATCTTACGTATAAACTATTATTATATTTGGTCAATTTTGCATTCACAATGCTATACTGGAAAATATTATTAATGTTAAATGCTTAAAAAATCAACTTTGTCCCTGGTACTCTGAGATAGGATTGCGAAAGGTCGTAGAATCCCACCATTGAATATCGGGGATAAAGTGTATTTTTTAAGCAGTCATTAAGAATAATAATTTAAATTATTTTTTATTTAATTTACATCAAAGAAACATAATATAAATTTGACGAGATGTGCGTCGACAACTTCAGATCCGTTGTGAAGTAAAGCAAAAATAATGGAGCACCACCAGGCAATATTCACATAATCTTCCTTGATATTCATAAATTTTCATACATGTACGCCGGTTTTAAGGTGGGTGCGCCGCATGCGTCACGTCTCCCCGATTGAGTTACGTCATATCTGATAAATTATTATAATAAAACATTT